TTTAAACAAATTCTTCTATCCTAAATATTCAAGAGCAATCAGAAAAATAGTTTTGAACATCCTAAAAATGTGCTTGTAAGAAACTTTTCTGGTTGTCCCCCCTTTAAAATCAAGCTTCCCCCACGTTGGGAAGGAACTCTTGGACCCCATGTTTGGTGTTATTGGTTAGGTGGATGAAAATGGCTCGGGATCGTGCCGAATGGCTGGCTGAGGTAGCAGTCGGTGGTGATGAGCCTTCGGGTTTTGTAGTCACGCAGTTAACAATAGTTATAGTATATCAGTAAGAAACGAGTAAATCGAGATCTGTTTCGATGTTGTTTGCTATCATACAATTTGCAACTCAACCCATACACATTCCTCTTTCACATTAAATAAAAACATCCCTTGTATGACGCAGAGGCTGTGCTCTCTGCGGCTTCGCAGGTTACGTGTCAGGTACTTTGTCCCGCGATTCAGTGTGTAACATCAACACAGTTCATGTACGTGTCTATCGCAGCCCACAATAGGCAATTCAGTATGCTCTGTGTCTCTCTGCTCCTAGCAAAACATGGAAACGGCTCTCTGTAATGAACCCCTGTCAACAAGGCATCGCATAGCTCGGGCAGTTTTTATTTTTTTACTGCGGCCACTATTTTGCCTATTGTACCAGCCCCAGATGATAGATGATGGTGATTGTACAGGAATTTATGGAATGTAAATTGGCATGAGAAACCGAAGTGCTCGGAGAAAACCTGCCCCAGTGCCACTTTGTCCACCACAAATGCCATGTAACCTGACCGGGGCTTGAAGCCGGGCCGCTGTGTTGGGAAGCCTGTCGCTAAGGAAGTTAATCAGAGTCCCACCACCGGCGGTCCGATGTTTGATCCCAGCTCGGTTTATGTGGAGTTCATGGCAAAAAAGAATGGAAGTTCGTCAGGTTCTCTCCCGGTACATCGGTTTCCCCTCCATATTGTCATTTCTCCATCTGCTCCACATTCATTAGTCACCTGTCATTCTGTGTAATACATGCTTTATACTGGCAGCGTTGTTAAATAACCATCTTCAAGAAATACGGCGTTAGAAATGTGATGCTTTAATTCCAAAAACTTAATAAAATGTAGGGGAAGAGTGGCGCGATTATTATTAATCGCAATCATGGGTTGGGCTATTTCGTTATAATCACTGACCGGGAAACCTCATTTGAAAATAAGTCTGTTATTCCTTTTTCAGGGTTATTTTATGAATCTGTCAGTACGAGCTGTACCATGTAGGGTCGAATGATAGGATGACGAGTTGAAATATGTTTGGAAGGAAGTGATCATATCCTAATCGAGGTATCGATCTAACTCGTCATTTAACCAGAGTGACTGAGGAGAACCACAAAGAAATTCAGGATAGTCGGTATCCTCTACGAGATGCGAACCTGGAACCTTCAGAATACGAGTCTAGGACGTTACCACTACGCCACATCGCGCAGTAAAACATGTGAAAAATGATTATGCGAATATATTGCAGTAAATCCCCTGATATAACGGACAAAATATGGCTGTATGCAATTTTCGTATATGTTGAGGCATTAAGAAGGTTTTATAGTTATAAAACTATTTAAAATAGAAAATAACCCTGATATAAGAATCCTTTATGTAATCAAATTGTGTGCTTCTATGTTTATTAGGTGAATTGGCTATGTATCCTACGGTGTACTTCCGTGAATACCCCTCCACTCGGTTGTAGCGGATTTCGGCGATAACGGAAACCCCCATTAGTGCTATGTAACAAGGTTTTGTCGTATTCGCACTGGTTTGATTTACTTTAAATCTGGAATGTAAATTATATCGTAACTTTATTTGGACACAATATCTTAAGAACCTTACTGCCATGAATACCTCACATAATCGGAAGAGCTGATGTTCGGGGTGAAATTCGAAACAGTTACCTCTCCAGTAGAAGTTTCAAATTTTATTTTTTTCAATAATGTCATTGGTTATTTTCAAGAAAATAGAATACTTTGGGATATCAGCATAAATGCAGAGGAAGTTTATAAAACCGCCATAGGCTTCAGAATACTTATCTTATTAATAAATGTTTAAGAGTTATCATCAGTGTGCGGTAGGTCTGTAACTGCGTTGTAGGAAGACATTTTTCGAAACGTGCCAGTAATTTTCCTGCTGTTTTGAAGAGCCTGTATTATGAAATGTGTATGTGCATTTACAGACTTTATTTTTGACAATGCCACGGTTGTATCTGCAGGTTGAAAGAATTTAAAGTGCGCTTTAAAATCGTGTTAATGAATAAGAATGTACAGCGAGAATGTGTGGTATGTGATGCGCATAGTGACGCTGATGTTCATTTTATGGTGAGAGTTCCAGTAACTTCCACCAGGTAGCAGCGCTGTCCTGTCATGGCGGCTATTACTCAGTGCTGGAGCACTATATCGACAAGATATTTCCGTTGTGTAAGTAGTGTTAATAAGATTTATAATAGTATAAAACTAATATTCAAGCTGAAAGAAAGTTGGCTCTCTTCATCATCATCAGTAATCTGTCAAGACGACAGGTCCACAGTCTCTTCCAAAACAATTCCTCCACTTAATGCGATCTAGAGCTTTCTCCTTCAAATGACAGTATCCTCTTCTGTCCCCAAGGTCATCCAGCATCTTCTTACGTCTTCTTCCTCGTCTTCTTGTCACTTCTATCCGCCCATCTATCTTTCCTTCGATAGCTTCTTTTAGAAGGCAGTTTCTGCGTAAAACATGACCAATCCAATTAGCCTTCCGTTTTCTTATTTCATGTAGGATATTCCTCTGCTCACTGACTCTAATTAACACTTCTTCATTTCTCACATAATCGGTCCAANGTCTGTAACTGCGTTGTAGGAAGACATTTTTCGAAACGTGCCAGTAATTTTCCTGCTGTTTTGAAGAGCCTGTATTATGAAATGTGTATGTGCATTTACAGACTTTATTTTTGACAATGCCACGGTTGTATCTGCAGGTTGAAAGAATTTAAAGTGCGCTTTAAAATTGTGTTAATGAATAAGAATGTACAGCGAGAATGTGTGGTATGTGATGCGCATAGTGACGCTGATGTTCATTTTATGGTGAGAGTTCCAGTAACTTCCACCAGGTAGCAGCGCTGTCCTGTCATGGCGGCTATTACTCAGTGCTGGAGCACTATATCGACAAGATATTTCCGTTGTGTAAGTAGTGTTCATAAGATTTATAATAGTATAAAACTAATATTCAAGCTGAAAGAAAGTTAGCTCTCTTATGTGAATGAATTTTATTTAATGAGTTTGTGTAACAATGAAAAGCTGTCAGCTGTATTCAAAAATGCCGTCAAAACTATTTATTGTGTTGTAGACTTTTATCATCTCTAAAATAGGTTAGACCTAGATTCGAACCAGGGTCGTTTTCTAGCGAGGCCGGTGGCACGACTTAAAATTGTCGAAGATTAAATAAATGCCGGTCACGGTAGCCGAACGTTCTAGGGCATGCACTGTCTCTCTATCGGAAGCCGGGATCGTGAGTTCGAATCCCACTCAGGTCATGGTTTGGTGTTTGTGTGTGTGTATGTGCGTTTTTATGAGTTTGTGTACAGGTAGAGGCCTTGCGACGAGCTAATCACCCGCCCAAGGAGTCCTACGGAATATCTTAAGATCTAGTAAACCGAAGTGAAACGGAGAGTTTCATGGAGGTAGGCCAAGCCCCAAATTTGGGCTTTAGCGCCAAACGAAAAAAAAAAGAGATTAAAAATACAAAACTACGGTTCACTTGAAGGTAACAGTCTCCCGAAAGATGACGCAGTATAGTCTGGTAGATTTTGTCGACGTCTAACAAACGTTACAGCATTACATCTCATAAGAAGTCTTTCACCTTGTAGTATAGTTTGAGGATGTGTGAGAATACAATATTGAGGAGAATATTTGTACCTAGGAGACAGGGAGTACCACGAGGATGGAGAAAGTTACACGATGAACTGTACTCCTCACCAAATAATGCTAAGGCTACGAATAATGGAGATATGGCACAAGGGAGACAGTAATGGAACTGTCCTGTTCGAGAAGCTAATAGTCACTAAGCTAGTCAAATCCGTCTTTAAATGTTCATTGCCGTGTTCATAAAACATTGCCACATGACCATGTCCAGAGAGAACTGGATCGAATCCACTTCCTCACAACCTATATCTGCGAGCTCCATTTTAATATTACTCTTCTCTCTGGGTCTAGGATTTTCAATTGGTCTCTTTCTCTCAGGCTTTCCGACTGAAATACTCATGAATTTCACGTCTCCTCTCTGTATGTCACACCTATTCTATCTCATCTTCGATACTTTGATCCCTCTAGTAATATTTTGCGAAGAATGCTGGTAATGAAGCCCCTCATTATTTAGTGGTTCGTATGTTTATTTATCGACACTGCCTCCTGTCATACTGTGTTGCTTCGAGTGACTGAAAAGTGAATAAATTAGAAAGGATACGGAAGGAATGAGTTGTAGGTACTATCCCAGAATTTGACTGGAGAGACCGAATAAAACCGCAGTAAGTATATTCGGTGGCCGTGCCATAGCTCTGGCTGGTAGTCGTTGGCTTCCCACCGCGGCGGCCCGGTTTCGAGCCCAGGTCGGGTTATGTGGGATTTTTGATGGACAAAGTGGCATTGGGGCAGGGTTTCTCTGAGTACTTTAGTTTTCCCCTTCCGATTTTCATCCCTCTGACTGCTCCACATTCATCATCATCTATCATCCAGGGCTGGTACAATAGGTCAGCTAGTGACCGACGTACCGAGTGGACTCAGTCTCACCCCACCTCAAGGAACTAAAAAAGTATAGCTGGTGGTCTGGCCGAGAATCGGACTCCTTGTCTGCAATACACAAGTCAGATGCATTACAGTTTGAGCTAGATTACTCAGTATTACGCAGTGACGATGACCGGTTTTGGAGGATCCGTGACGATGTCAGTACAGAGACTTGCTCTTACAAATGTGTTGCTTACCCAGTCGCCTCTGACGGTCTGGTGTTTCAGGCGGAACTACTGGACGCGTTAAGGCGTCGAAGGGTTCGAGGAGATTGCACGAGCGATGACGACGAGGACCTGGGATTGCCCCACAGCCCCTGTAACTCACCCACAACTGCAGATGTACTTCTGGAACAGGGCCTTAAGGTAAGACATCACCACAAATTTTGCATAAGTTTAGCTCACGTCACCTGTGACATAATATTTGAAGATACTGTTAAAATAGGGCGGAGAATGTGGGCTAGATCCAACTGGCCACTGCAGCAAACTGTGGATATCTTCGAGAGCTTCCAAATCGAAAGGGGTAAAAGAATTTTTAAGTGGGATACGGCATATACTTTAAATTCGCGATTGACGGCAGATTGCTGGGTTTGATGTTCATTTATTGGCGGTACAAATAGTTTGTTTCATCTTTTATTCTGACCTGTTCTTGCAGAAAAGATCACAAAAGAGACTCCTCGGGTCTGTTGTTATTACAGTTGAATCGTTAACTCGCCCATGAAGTACATGCGTTCTTATATACCGTGAGATGTGTATATAATGGTGTAGCTATATCTGCGTGCCGGGTTTGATACCGATATACCGTCTCCCAATAAGCGTAACACAGCCAGTTTTCTCCTACAGCATTAGAACAGGGTTCTATTTATTCGACTGGTCGCCAGATGAAGAAGTTGGCTTGCGTTTGGGGGCCATGCAGTACAAAAAACACCTACATATAAACACGCAGGGTCAGGGTTTACACTCAGACTACGGCCTATCTCACTGAATGACACTGAGAGCGGAACAGCTTACGCTGTTAACGCTTTTTATTCTTTTTTGTTTATATATATACGAAGGGGGACCCAAAAATAACCGGAACCGACCTGTTGCGCGCGCATGCTTTGTAGTTACGAGTTGTGCTGCTAGGTGGTGTTAGCTGGGGGTCTCCCGCGACTGTTAGTGAGCTGGCGTCAGTCTGAGTTAAGTGGTTTGTCTGTGGTGCTCTGTTGTGTGCGTTCCTGTTTCAACCCTTTGGCGATTAGTGAGA